AGTGTGTGTGTGTGTGAGTGTGTGTGTGTGTGAGTGTGTGTGTGTGTGAGTGTGTGTGTGTCTGAACTGACCATCCACACTCTTTCCCCTCTGTCCACTAGGGTTTAGGGTTGTGTAAAATTTTGTAATCGGAAAAATAACAAATGCTGGGTTTTTGTTTTTGTTATTTACAAAAATTGATGTATCCTCCACGTATAAAGAACAATATACATTGGAAAAATGAAGGAAAATATTGATTTAATTATTTTTCTGCTCTTTAGGTAAGGCAAAAGAGTGGGAGATGGATAACTAGAGAGTTAAATTTGGTCAAGTCCCTTTTTACAAGGCAGATTTAGACTGACAATTAGGGGGAAAAGGTCAAGTGAAAAATCTGTTCCCATCTTCTTTCCTATTTCATTACCTAGAAACATCTTCATGATAACACAACCCAGGCATGAGCCAAAAAATATGAGTGATGAACAATGAATAAATATTAGAATAATATTAGGCAAGAAGGAAATTGAGGGCAAGTCTGACAGACATAACCCATCAGGGAACTTGACAATTATTACATGAGAACATAGTAAGACTTCTCTCGGAAACAGAAGCTTCCTTCTAAAATAAAGAGTGGAAAAGGAACTGTTTTCCCCCCAATTCCCACTTTATTTTAAAATGGCCTAGTAGCGGCCTCACAGACGGCTCCTTGCATTCTTTAGTGCCAGACTAATCTATGGTTGAAAGAAGATGCAACATCTATATAAATCAAGGTTACTGGATAAACATTTGTCTCTTTGTAAATGTGGCTTTTTCTCAAGGGAAATAAAATCATATCCATCCTTGCCAGGCTTCCAACTAAGCCCTTCAGGAGACACCCAGACTGAAAAATGTCTAAATGGGCATTCACAACAATGCATTTGGCTGACATTTTCATTACTTTGGGTAAGTGAGCCAGTTAGGTCCTGTGAGGCTAGGTCCAGTCACTTTTGAATGTTTTATGTTATATAAGTATACATAAAACAAATGTACAAAGCTGGGGGGGTGGGTAGGCACTCGGCTCACTCTGACCCACAGGGAGGAGGCAGGTTCTCTTCAAGGTGCCGGATCAGTCCAAGTGTCAGACCAAGTTCTAAGAAGCAAAATCGCTGCTATGGCCAATGGTATCTAGGATACCCATCTATTTTACTCATTTCTTTGGGAAAGAAGGTCTTTTCTCCAGGGAACAAGCAAACTCATCCAGGACCAAAGCTGCCCCTTTTATCAATTTGTATTTTCCTTAGTGACGTAATTCAAGTTGAAAGTTGTTTTTAAAATTATCTTGTTTGCATCCCTAAGGCTCAAAAATAACTTCAATCAAAGGGCAAACTGAAGCCTGACAGTGCACCACTAGAGAAAAAGAAGAAAGGATTGAAAAGGCAGCCTCCCGATCATACGTGGGAAGCTCTTAATTCCTTTGTGATACGGAACTTAAATCAGGAACATCAACATCATCCATCAGGCGACATTGTCTGAAACAGGGAAGAGACTTACAAATCGGCTGGAGTTGTTGTTCCGGACGGTCTTGGCATTCCCGAAGGCCTCCAGCAGTGGGTTGGACTGCAGGATAATGTCCTTCACGTGCTGTCCCAGCAAACAGACCGAGGTTAGTGAGGTGCCAACTCCTGCCACATGGTGTAAAGCCAAACCTCCCCAAAGGGCCTGGTTTCTGAATGCAGTAACATGACGGCCCTAAATCCATGTGTCCCTGGGGGTTTCTGAAGGATGTATTCTTTCATCATGACACACCTAAACCTATTTGTGTGTTCGGGTCTCCCAAGTTCTTTGGCTTGATGCGGGATCCCCTGGAGCCAGGACCACTAGTAAAATCAGGACCTGCACACGGTCCCAGACTGGATTTCCAAATGGGTTGCTGCAGCTTCACCCTGCACTTCCAGGTGTGCTGGGAATCACAGCAGGGAAGAAAGTGAAGCAAGAAGGGGCACCTCCTTGCTATTCTGACTGGAGTCTTCACTCTCACACCGCTGCCCAATTACTCTACCTGCCTATCTCATGCCCACCTTTTCCTGATCCACCGAAAGTGAGAGTTATCTGTAGGGAAATCAGTTTCTCCTCCCCAAATAGGGTTGTGGAAATACGCACTTGTGCTCAGACATTAATCTGTGTGAATCCCCTGGGGTCTTGCTAAAAGGTAGATGTGGATTCAGGAGGTGGGGCCCAAAAATCTGCATTTCTAACCAGCTCCGTGGTGGTGCAGGTTTTGCCAGCACGGATCTACACTTTGAGCAGCAAGGGTCAACACTAGATTGTATGGGACAATTCCTGGCCAACTAGAGGGGAAGACTTTGGTTTTCAAATACCCCAGTCTGTGGCAAAACACACCATGGACATGAGACAGCCCAACAGACAGGATTTGATGTTGGAGACATCTTTCAAATGAGTCATTCCTTGTACTTCTAATTATTCACATGCTCTGGTTAAACGCGTTCCAGAAATAACAAGTCTTCTGGCTTGTGCTCTTTAGCTACTGACTTATTCCAAGCCAAGAGCTCTGTATCATTGTCCTCATAGGAAAACAGGAAAAGAAAAGTCAACATTAACCGTCTGCAGCCTGGCTAATAGGTTGTAGGCTGTAGCAAACAGGACTAGATGAAGGCACTATTAATTGACTANCCTGTTAGAAACACCTGCCTGTTAGAAACACCTTGACTGTAAGAAACACCTGAGGAGTCTTTACAAAATGCCAGTGCCTGGTGCCATCCCAGACCAAGTAAATCAGATTCTCTATGGACTGACCTGTGTAGTTTCAAAAAGTACTTGGGTGACTTTTTTTATGTAGCTAAGGTTGAGAACAACTGCTCTAATGTAATCAAATGCTTATACACAGTTCAAAATTGTCATATAAAAGTAAAAACTCCTAATTGCTGTATAGCAGCCCGAGGTGGGGGTGAGTTGGGGGGGGGAGAGAAGATGGTACATTTTATAAAAGGAACAGGATATTACATTTTGATAATTAAATGGAAAGAAATGTGACTCTTGGTAATGTTTTATTTCCTAAGCTGGGTGTTGAGTACACAGGTGGTTCACTGTATTATTTTTAAATACTGTTTGAAATATTTCATAATGTATTTTTTAAACTTGAAAAGATTCATAAATGGAAAATATATGAACTTTTATGATTCATAATACATGCCCATTGTTTAAAGAGAAATGACCCATAATCCCACCCTCATGCCAATTCCACCTTCTCCTGATAATCACTGTAATTGTATATTCAAACTGATTTACATACACCTTATTACGTTTTAATATAATATGCACAAAATGAGATCATATCGTAAATATTGTTCTGTAATCTTTTTTTTATATTTAACAATACATTATGAATACCTTTTTCTATTTTTTTGGTGGCTGGCAGGTACAGGGATCCAAACCCTTGACCTTGGTGTTATAACATGGTGCTCCAATCAAGTGAGTTAACTGACCAGCCCTATTATGAATACCTCATTATAGAAGTCGTTATTAACAGGGAACATAGATAACTTATTCTTAAAGTATTGTTGGCTCAAAGATAATGAACATTTTAAATTTTGATAAAATTTGCCAGACTGCTCTCGTGGGAGAATGTGTCAGTCTTCAGCCACTAGTATCTCTTCTCTGTTATTATTAACCTCCTTATTGTTTGCCCATCTGAGAGACAGAAATGACATAAAGTTTTAATTTACATTCCTCTCATTATTAGTGAAAGTGAGTACCTTTTGATGCCACCAGGCTTGACTCTGTGTATTAGAGAGTGAATGTAAGAGAGCATGTGTGAGTGTGTGTGTGTGTGAGTGTGTGTGTGTGTGAGTGTGTGTGTGTGTGAGTGTGTGTGTGTGTGAGTGTGTGTGTGTGTGAGTGTGTGTGTGTGTGAGTGTGTGTGTGTGTGAGTGTGTGTGTGTGTGAGTGTGTGTGTGTGTGAGTGTGTGTGTGTGTGAGTGTGTGTGTGTGTGAGTGTGTGTGTGTGTGAGTGTGTGTGTGTGTGAGTGTGTGTGTGTGTGAGTGTGTGTGTGTGTGAGTGTGTGTGTGTGTGAGTGTGTGTGTGTGTGAGTGTGTGTGTGTGTGAGTGTGTGTGTGTGTGAGTGTGTGTGTGTGTGAGTGTGTGTGTGT